GATCAACTCGGATCAGGGTCCTGGGTGTCACGCCGAGGGGAGGCACGCGGGACGCACCGGGGGGTGTCAAAGTGCTTGCGCAGGATGTTGTCATAGCTGCCTCCGGCCTTGTACTGCGGAGACTCCACGATGGCCACACAGAGACTGCCGGCGCTGGGGGGACACCCGAGGGCCGATCGGCTGCTCGTCAAAGGAACCTCCCCTCTCAGCCTTTCCACCTAAAAAGTTCGAAAATAGGCACGCAAAAGCAGACAGACCGGTTTAATGGGAGAAGACACGTCACGATCATCACGTAAGAATAACACACCATTCATTCTAGATTTGAAGTTTTCGTGACTGCAAGGGTCCATACTCTTTGTTTTTTTCGGTAAAGTCACGTAGGTAAAAAATTAATTAAAAATAAATTAAATCACGACGTTTCGGAGGCAACACAAGCTTCCGTCTTCAGGTGGCACCGTCACAGCAAAATTACTGTATCAGTATACAGTAAAAAAAAAGAGTAATAACACACCACCCCACCGATTTGGGAGTTTCAGTGTATCAGGACTCGGCTTCTCACCGTGAAGAAGCAACATGCAGGCTTGAGAGACGTGATCGGCCAGGGGCGAGGGCAGGCATTGAAGATCAGGCTGGGGCAGACGAGGGCTTCTTCTACCAGGCCATCATCTCCATCGTTCCGGCGGGGGTGAAGCGACAGCCTCTGCAGTTCCCGTGCGTCAACGCCAAATATCCTCGCGCAACGTCCACCTCTTTTCTCACCCGCAGGCCGATCATCTGTCGCCACCACCATCACCACGTCTGCTGCTGCTGCTGCTTCTTCCTCTGACACACCATCTCGCCGGTGGCCAGTCCCATCAGGATAAAAAAGTGGGGAATCCTCTTCGTGGTGTACGTCGGCCGGTCGGCTCCTGGCCACATCAGCGTTTGGTCGCTGCCACAGCGTGACCCACTCACCGTGGAAGAGGCCCAGCCGACCGAGGGTCTGCATGCCGACCACCACGCTCGAGTGAGAATCCACGTCCCTGTCCAACAGTGCGGAGAGGCCGGCGTTGGGCCAGCACCTGATCGTGCGACGGAGCCCAGTGGACGCGGCGTGGCCCGGGGCATCTCCTGGCAAGGCTGTGCCGCGGGCGGTCAAATCCGCCAGGAGACGAGCAAAGTCTGAGGCCAGCACCGGCTGCACCTCCATCGCACGCTCGAAGGCTCTGACCTCCGACCCCGCTGCTGCGCCTGTGATGTCGTGGAAGTCAATCAGTCCTGATGGAGGCGCTGTCCCATCAGTACCGAAGTCATTGCCGTACGCAGTTCCTGTCCCGTTCACTCGACCTGCCCTCCCATCGCCGAGACCCGCGTTGGCCCCCGACTCCTCTGCCACGTGGCCCAATTCACCTGCAAATCCTGCTCCCGCAAGACTCTCAATTTTGCCAAAACCTCTTGCCACGAACCCATCCTCCGCCACGGCCAAATTCCCTCGCACCCCCTCCTCTGACCGCGAGCCTGCCCCGTCCCGTGCCCCGCTGGCCAACTCCGCCAAATGCCCCGACCTGACCCCATTCCCCGACCTTGCTCCGAGCCCTGCCCCGTTGCCCGACCCTGCCCTGCTCCCCTGGGCAGCCTCCGAGAGGTCGGCGAGAAGGAGCGAAGCGTCGGGCATCAGGGTCCCCTGGAGCACGGGGCCACAGTCAAGGACCACGAGGTCCAGACTGAGGGCGGCCAGCCTGGACGCAATGGTCCCCGGTGTCCCCGAGACCCCGTGCTCCCCAACGACCCCCTGAACCCCCACGGCCACCGGGGCTCCCCCAGATTCTCCCTCTTCCGCGTGGACCCCTGAAACTCCCTGCCCACCCGTGACCCCCCCGTTCGCAATCATCATCGGGAGGAGGCAGGGGACGACAACGAGCGGGTCCCCTCGCCGCACCAGGACCCCGGGCGGACCCCCGGCAGCCAATGTCCTCAGCCCGGCCGCAAAGGCCTCCCCGGAGGCCCACGAGAAGGCGGCCCTGCTCCGGGCTCCCAGCACCAGGCGCCGGATCCCCGCGGGAGACCCCCCGAGGGGTACCACCGCGACTGCCGCGGCCCCGGGGCGCAGGCCGTGGTGACGGAAGAAGAGGCCCGAGGCGCGCACGTGAAGAGGAGGGGGGGCCGAGGGGGTCCCTGGGCCGACGTCCCCCAGTGAGGGGGGGTCGTCGTCGTCGTCGAGCCACGCGTACACGAGCAGGGTGGACTCGGGTCCCGTCGTCCCGGTTGACCCCGACGATCCGTCTGAACCCCAGCGCACCCCCGTGGGCCCCCGCAGCCGCAGGCCGAGGAAGTGCCCGTGTCCCTGCAGCAGGGCCGCCTGCTTCAGCCGCTGCTGCTGCTGTTGTTGCTGCTGCTGATGAAGCCGCTGCTGTTCCCGTGGCGTCTCCAGCTCTTCATCTCCCTCCTGCTGCTGCTGCTGGTTCTCTCTACCGAACGCGGCCTCCCATGCGCACCGAGAAATACGCACGTGTAGCGGGTGGTGCTCTTGCTGCAGCTGCTGCCGCTTCTGCAGCTGGAGAAGAGTCGCGGCACGGGAGGCTCCCATGGCCTCTCTCCTTGCCGCCGGTACAATCGCAGCAACAGCAGCAACAGCAGCAGCAGCACCGACGACGTCTCCTCCTCCTCCTGCATCAATCGCCGCGACCTCCTCGGACACACCGACGCCAAACAGCGCGGTCAGCAGAGCGACAAGAAACTTGCTCGCCCCACTTCGGGACAACACAGATTGGGGGGGGGGGGGGGCCTTGTGGGGTCGGGCACCCAAGACTGTACAATGGAGAGCGTGGTGGGGTTTGTGTTGCATTCAGGGATCTCAACGTCGCCCTCTTGCGGTGAATGTTGGGAACGTTACAGGTTGTGCGGGGCAGCTGCTGTTGATTCATTGAAAGAGTCGTGGGGGTGCTCAGATGTGGACAGGATGGTCCAGATGTCTTGTAACCCCCACTCCCCCCTATTGAATTGACCCCTGACATTCTTATTCCTTTGCGTATTCGTTTGAATACATTTGCTCAAGTGGACTGCTGGCATCGTTACTATTTAAAATAATGATATTTAAGTTATGTAATTTTTCTGTTTGCCTACATTACATTACACACCCATTGGTATGCAACAATGGTAAGTTTTAGATGACTAAACAGGGGTCGCAAGACATTTGGACCACACTACACGTTGATCTGGCCTCCATCCAGATGTTTAACTTGCACTGAAAGAGTTCACATGCTGACCGTGCACATCAGTTTAACACAAGCCATCACCATCTGTCAGTCTTGTGCACATGTTTTTCAATGTTCACATATCTGGCAGCTTCCAAAGAATACCGTGAAATAATGGACTGTCACCAGATTTTAAGTCGCAACGTATTAAAAGCTAATATTGATCAGATATTTCAAGTTCACTGGCTAGGTGCTGATGGTCGGAAATACATCAAGCTCTATGGTGTAGAGTTTTGATGAGGGAATTCTTCTGGGATGGATGGTGGTAGGCATCCGTATGGGTGGCTTTCCTGTAGACAGTGTCCCATTGAGCCATCTGGTCTCTTTTCGATTAAAACATCCAAGAATGGTAACTTGCCATCCTTTTCCACCTCCATGGTGAATTTGATGGCTGGGTGTATGGAATTGATGTGGTTGAAGAATTGGTCCAGAGCTGGTAGGCCATGTGGCCAGATGACGAACGTGTCATCAGCCCAGTCACCATCGACTTTGCAAACAACAAAATGCTGTTTTTACCGAGTTTGACCTATTGCAGAACGTAAGGCTTGAAACAAAACATTGATTTGACATGACACTTTATAAGGCTTGAGGCATACCCCGTGTGTCGATATAGATGATCGACTAAAATAACTTAAGAATAATTTCTGATGTCATCTTCCAAGGCCTTTCTGAGACAGGGTGATGTACTGCTAGCTGTAGATGTCTGAATATAATTAGATCATGCTGGCAAGTTAGTTAAGTATACATTTGATTACAGAGTCCCAAGGCTATATCCTGACATGTGCTAGTCGGCTGGAATGCAGCTTAATGATGTTTCAATAAACGCTCCTGGTAATGTCGTAAAACTTGCCCAGAAACTATACAGATGTGGGCATTGTTCTTGATGAAAAGTGTGGAAAGATTCGCAGCAATTAGTTTATAGTTGTTTTAGTTTGTGTGAAAAACATGTGAAGTGTCCTTGGACAGATTAATGAACGGACATTATTTCCTGGGCATAGAAATAAGTATCCTTGTCATCATTATCAGCTATTACAGTATATATCTACTGCTGAATAAAGGACTCCCCAAACCATCACCATCTGTCAGTCCTACAATGCAAATATCCATCGAGCACCTGCACCCAAACTGGTTTTATCACTCCATCTGCGTGGTGGTTGTTTATTACAAACACATTACGTATCTATATACATATACACGCCGAACTTTATCTGTGATGAACGCTGCACTTTCCGTCGTTTTCATGCAGGGGGCGCGTAGGTTTCAACGACGGAGGCGCACGGACAGACGTTCGATTACGTTGGAAATCGATCTGCAGACCGAGGCGATTCGGTGTTGATTCCCAGAATGGACGTGACACCTACCGACACGACTTTGCCATTTGTTTTGCAATGACGACGACAATTTCCCATTCTCCCCGCAAACGCTTTCACAATCAACAAGTCGCAGGGACAGACGTTCCATTATGTTGGCAAGCGCACAACTTTATCTTTCTATGATGAATAATATACGATAACACTTCGAAATGCGTCGTTCGTTTGCAAATTTTGTGACTTTCCTGCCCGAAGGCTGGAAATGCTTTTGTTCGGGGGCGCCGCAGGCCGACAGACACAACATCACCACTGACTAATAAAATAACAAAGACAACATTGATACCTTTGGCTCCATCGTATTAGTTTCACATGACAATGATACATTAGCCCGCATCAATCTTCATTTGAAAACAATACAATTAAATGCACAACATGTTGTATGACAGCAAACATGACATATTTTAAAATATTTTATTATTTTGTATGATTACTGATTGCATTGTGCCATGCACAGTATATGCAGGAAGGTACAGGTAACACCCCCAGAATGGCCTCCAGACCCAACATCACCACTGACAGTATTAAAATAACAAAGACAACATTGATACCTTTGGCTCCATCTTATCAGTTGTTCGCATTGGCTTTCACATGACAATGATACATTAGCCCGCATCAGTATTCATTTGAAAACAATAAAATGCAATGTACAACATGTTGTATGACAGCACGGCAAAAGGTGTGCGGACACAGGTTCGAATATTTACACTTTGCCAGTCCCCACACCGGCACCGAAATGATTACATTTGTTTTGGCAATAAGACAACTCCAGTCTCATTGGTCTGCATGGGGGGGGGGGAGAGACTGTGTATCGTTATTTCACACCAAGGTCTGCCTTGGGTCCTCTCGACTCCAGCGAGAACCACAATTCGATGTTGGTGGACAACAGCAGCACGTCACAGCAAAAGTTCACTTTCATGTCAACAAAAATATGATGGTATCCATTTTATACAAGCCTGTCCAATGTGTTAGCTCCATTAAGGAACTATACAACCATGTGGATGTATGTTATCCTATCGATGAAACCAATGTGATTGTGAACAAAAACCGTGCAGTTACAATCCCTCGCTGTGAGCGGTGATCCGGAAGTGGTCTCCATGCCACCAATAGGCCAGCTGACATGTACATTACAAAAAAACAAGTTGCTAAGTACTCGGCTTGTTTAAATAAAATATCGGCATTAAGAACAATTTTCAAACACAATTTATTTATTCTACGATGTTTTCCCCCATTCAAAATACGGAAAGCATGGAAGGAAATAAATGCTCTCAAGGCCTAGAGGCTGAAAATTATGCGATCTCAAATCCACAGGAGTGCGACTCTAAATTGCACGATAAGAGCCCCCCGGTTAAATGACGTGGCCCACAGCCACATCAGCCGGCAGAAGCGGCGCTGGTGATGGCGGAACACGCCCGAGACCCACGCGCACAGCCCGGGTGCCGTCGTGCAAGTAGCAGTCAACACGGAATAATTGCGAGAACCTGCAAGTCCGCTGTAAACATCACTCGCCACCGCAACTGTCCACAAAGAGATGCCCCGTTTCAAGCATGCACGCGAACGTCAAATCTCAAAAGTGCCGCAATACACCACGACTGTAACAGCTTATTATTAATTACAAAAAACACCGCTCGCCATCCTCCACCTTCCGCACACACGTTGGCAATGTTAGCCCAGTAGTCTCGTCAATATGCTACGGTTAAACGTCCCCAGACCATGCAACTGGCCTCAAGTGATCGGCTTGTGTATTTTTATTTATTCAAAGCTATGAGGCGAGGGTATATATTTGACTATAAAAGAACAAGCATAGCTGAATTTGGTAAAACCAAGAACGTAAACCGACACAAGTGCCTTTGTGTATCTCCCAGCACTGCACAGATCATACACATCACTGAAACCCAGTCATCCTCCAAAGGGAAACCTGGTCTGCAAACAAGGATTTAAAGATCATTTAAATAAGTCCATGGCAAATATTCTGCAGACACAAACTTAAATTACGTGCATTATCAATTAAAGAATACGACAACTGACCTTTGCTTATTTACGCTGATGCAATGCTGTCCTTGTGAAGAGTCAAACCTCTAGGATCATAGAATTATCTGGGATTTTGCAAAAGTAAGCAAAGCGTATGGCTCCATCTATTGCGTGCAGATACACTGCAATAGGCAGTCTCTTCCAATGTGGTCCTCTAAGGGACATTGAATGATTTTCCGCTAAATAGATTTGATTATAAAAACGAATTCTATACGGTGTTTCGTGTTATTAAAGCCAACACTGTATGGCGGTTAATAAAAGGTCTCACAAACTCGACAGTAGTTTTAAATAAAGATTAAAATATTTTCACAAAGTTTTAATTATGCCAGGAGTAAGGCAAATAGTTGTATGACCCAACTGCCTATGCCAATTGACTACTGCACATCACCTTGGCAACATCTACGCAACAAATCTTGTAACATGTATTATCTTCCACAGGATATTACAAGCCCATCAGCCCAGCATTTGCAGCAATAATCATCGTAAACAGCTTAAATGAGCTAATCTTAACGATACCATAATTACAGCTGCGGCTAGTAGTTTTTGGTTGATGCTTAGAAATAATTCAAATACCGAATGAAATCGCAAGTGCCCGTTCTTGGCAAATACATGTTTGCGAGTTATATAACCGTATAAGTCAGCACGTAACGTCCAATAACACAGCCATATATTTCTGGAACAAATATCGAGTCGTCCGTCGTGATAGTGGCTTTGTTCTAAATCTGCGCGCTTGCTACAGCACGAAGTAAAAAAACAACAACAACAACCTAGTGCTTAGCTGCGCTATTCCTGGCGCGTAAAACAATCAGTTCCAGCGCCATGAGAATTTCGATCAGGCCCCACGAGGGCACCCAGGTGTAGTCGGCCGAGCTCCCGAGCAACTCCGCGTCGCCGGGTTGCGCGTTGCTGGAGCCAGGCAGGAGCAGAGCGCGCGGGCTGCCCCCTCCCTGCGCACGACACGGTGCGGTGCGGCTCGGCCAGGGTCAGCTCGTGAGGTCCAGGTTGCTGGAGCTGAGGCCCTTCGACTCCATCAGACTGTTATCCGGCTGCCAGGAACGCCACAGGGATTTGTGGTCAAAGAGAGGCGCCGCAATGTAAAGATACACAAACACCCCGCTCTCCCCTGCCTACCCCACCCCCCCTAGCAATACGACGAGAAATTATCTCGATTTTGGGTTATGATTCCATTATATAGTTCGTTTCGTTTTGTTTACCACCTCTTTTGTATGTTCTTTTTTTTTGGCATGTTTGCACAGTATAATGTGCTCCATTATCCGGAATGTAATGTTACATTCACATATGCGTTTCATAAATAATAAAAAATATCTATTCCTAACTATATGACTCATCACTGCGTGGCCCATCAAACCCTGTCACCAGCACCATCTAACTCGAATGACCATGGTTCTCACCTGGAATGTTACCTCCACAGTGGGCAGGTTGAGAGTGTTGAGCGAGCCTGCTCTCTTCATTCTACAAAACACGAGAGCTTGTGTCAGCAACAACAACTTCCATACATATTTACGTAGCATATGATTGCAAGTGAATCTGGAGATGCTTTACAAAATAAAATAATACCATTCTGGTAAATGGGGGATGAGGAGGGGAAGCAACTCCATGGCAGGGATACAATAACTGTGGGGGGGGGGGGGGGGGCCTCTGCCCAATAAGGGCGCCACGGTGGGTAGGAGATGTTCACGACCTCGCCTGGTATGCAGGATGTCGCGGGATCAATCCCGACCCTGACGCCTGCATTGTTGGAGTTTGCGTGTCTATCTCCCCATGGTTGTTTCTCTGGGTTCTCCGGTTTTAGCCTCCACATTTAGAATAATGGATTTAGAGTATTTGCCTGCTATAAATTTCCAAATGATAAGCCACTTTGTTGAGATATTATTAGTGGCCAGGTTGCTTCTGAAAAAGATGTAAATAGCTCAGTGGGCTTTACCACGTAAAATAAAAATAGGAAAAGTAGGAAAAGGTAAGTCTCAGGACATCCCCAGGAGGCCAGAGCCCATTCACGAGTCAAGGGAATCAGCCAGGTAAAGAGCAGACAAAAAAGATCGCACCACACACGGACGCACCCCTTAAAATGTGAAGTATTACACACGAGCAGTGATTCTGGGGGGGGGGGGGGTATTGACTCATTTTGATAATAACTTCATATCATATTTTTATCTGTAAAAGATTTGAGTGTCAGGATTTTTTTCATAGGGTCCTGCATTTGGATGTTTGGTTAAACACATTTCGAGAAGTGTTTTGCAGGTATTTGGAAACAGGATTACCCACAGAAAATCCACCACAAGTGGGGGAATAGCAATCATGGTCTTGCTATACAGGGGGAGTTCATGAACCCATTTTTCGATTTAAAGCTTTCGTGACTGCAGGGATTCATCTTCTTGGTTCTTTCGGTAAAGTCACGTAGAAGGGAAGTAATAAAATAATAAAAATAAAACATAATAAAATAATTCTCACGACGTTTCTCCCTTTGATGCTGCTAATCCTGCATAATGCACGGGCATAATATGACTTTGAAAACCCCCCGCCCACCTCCTACGCATTTCACAAGTAGTACTAATCACATACCTGCATTTCCCATAAATATGCTAAATTCCTCTTGATATGCAAATTATTTTGTCAAGGCGCCCTTCCCCCCTTCCAACCCAGCTTAAATATACGCTCCAAGCGTGGTGGTGTTTCATTCAGACGCTGTCTCCCCGACAGACCTGGTCTTCACCTGAAGACGGCTGCTTGCGTTGTGGCCGAAACGTCGTGAGAATTATTTTATTATGTTTTCTTTTTATTATTTCATGAACCCACTTACCATAACATCCATCCGGCTACATAGCTGTCTAGTGGGTTTGGTAGTTTCACAAATCTCTACGTGATCCCCCAACCCTTGCCTCAAAAGTGCTTGACTACAGCGGTGCATCACCATGCCCGGCTTGCCGTACTGAAATTCCTTCGAGCGGTTTCACTTATGAGTTTTATTTCACAAGCCAGAGTTGTGGATTGCACACACATAATATTCCCCCATTCGCATGCGCAAACCCTTCGTGCTCACAGAACGCTGCCACTCCCGAGGAGGACTTAAAATCCCATTTGCTAGCGATTAAAACGCACCTGTGTGGATGCTTTTACCAGCCAGTTCACTCGCTCTATGTGTGCTCGTAATACAACCTAATCAGCAGGCAGCGAACGAGTCAAACTATTAACAGATGTCAGCGTCGAGAAGGGTTTCACCCTCCAGAGGATGCCCTGGGACTCAGTGCTACCCTGGCTGCACCACCGGCTGTCGCTGGGGCTCGTTGTTGTTGGTGCTGGGCCCTGGTTTCTTAGTCCTGGGATATGCCGCCGCAGCGTCGCTCGCTGTCCTCTCCCTCCCTCGTCTGTCCGCTCCCCCTAGTCTCCCTGCACCGAACCTTTCCACCACCACCACCACCCTCTTGCACCCTCATGTATTTTTGTGATATTTGTAAAGTGTCTTAAGATGAGGTTGATTTTCAATAGTACGTCATTAGAAAAGGTTGTTGTCGTTTAAGAGAAAGCGTAAATGTAATATTATTCAAACTATGTTTCTATTGATACTTAACTTTAATAAATTATGTTTACAATGCGCTGAATTACCGTATTATTCTTGAGTTGTAATATTAAATGGAAAATTTTTATCATTTGGTAAATTTCACGCTGTCATGTTGCAAACTCTTGAAAATAAGTTGTGAAACCCATGTGTTTTTCTGTTTAAATTAAGTATGCTATGTTATAATCCTTTTTTTTATCTTTAGAGGTGAAAATGTATCCATAAATGCTGCTTTTAACCAAAATGTAGATTCAAATATAATCAGACCGAATTAGTGATTTACTCAATTAAAAATAGGTTGTACCACATGATGTATATTCGGTTAGTTTTAACACTTGTCAAGTACAGCGCTTCTTCAAGTCCCCAAAAATGGTATTGCAATTGTTTAAAAACACGAATAAGCTCAGAATTTTAAGAGGACGTTATAAGATGGTGACAAATGTTTTGAGGAAGTGAGAGATTGTCAGATGTTTAGGACGTATTCTACAGTCTGAAAAAAACTATTACAATGTGTGATGGCGTGGGAATTGGTGAGAAACCATGGTTTAATGGAAGCCATTTGATGTCAGATGGCATGGTATGATTTGGCATGGTATGGATGGCATGGGTAGATTTAAGATGGCATGGGATGTGGGATGGTAAGAGATTCTAGATTTGAAGCTTTCGTGACTGCAAGGATTCATACTCTTAGTTTTTTCGGTAAAGTCACGTAGGTAAAAAATAAAATAAAAATTATTATTATTTTATTTCTATTATTACTTTTATTAATTTTAATTTCATTTTCTACCTACGTGACTTTACCGAAAAAACTAAAAGTATGGTAAGAGATGGCATGGGATGTGGGATGGTAAGAGATGGCATGGGATGATACGATATGGCACAAGATGGTATGGGATTATTAACGATGGTATCGGATGGTATGCAATTGGTGTGGCACAGTGTGAGATAGCATGGTATGGGATGAGATTAAATGTGATGGCAATGTATGGTGTCGTATGGCATGGAATGGTGTGAGCATCAAGAAGCATCATGGGTTGATTTTCGAAGGCATGAGTTGGCACGGGATGGCATTGGATGTCATGGGACTATGTGACAAGGGATCGGATGGTTGCCGGGAAGTGCGAGATGACACAGCACGGGATGAGTGTGGCCCAGCGCTCACCCCGAGTATTTGGGCTCGCTCCCATTGCTCTTGAGCTTGCGGACAAGCTTCTCGCTGCCTTTGCGGATCGTTTCCCGGATCTTACTGAAGGAGCCGCTGCGTCGCATGGTTCCGCTGCCATCCTGGAAACACGAGAGCCCTTACAGCAGAAGCAGCAGAAGCAACAAGCACAGCTGCACCCGCGGCGCAGCAGCTTACACACATACACTGCATGCAGTGCTTTGACATGCAGTTGTATATAATAGGTATGGTCCACCAAGCTATATAGCTCTTTTTCAGAAGCAACCTGGCCACAACTGATACCCCAACGAAGTGGCTTATCACGTGGACATTTATAGCAGCCAAATACTCTAAGCGCGTGATGTTGATTCTAAATGTGGAGGGAAAAACCAGAGGACCCGGAGAAAAATACACGCGACCACGGGAAGAACATGCAAACTTCAAATATAGAGGCGTCAGAGTCGGGATCGAACCCACGACCTCCTGCATACCAGGCAAGGGAATTAACATCTCATCACTGCAGTGCCCCATGCTCCTCATCAGCTCATGATTCTCTGTTGCCGCCATAGTCTGCATCCACCAGCCACCAGTGCCGTCAATTCTCTGCTCCACAACGTATTTCTTTTTCCCTCTGCCTATGACCAACATCTATAAATACCGTGAAGCATACAGTTTCTCTAAAGGGACGTACGAGGGTCTATTTCACCACCACCAAAAAAATAGTCACATAAAAGGCCCAGCAGCAGCGCATGGACTCTACGGACCAACATCTTCCAGTCTCATGGGGAGGATATGACCCTGTTAAACTAATGCCGCTGGTTTGCCCGATGTTATAGGCCAGAGTCCTCCAGGAAAACCACTGGGGCTGTTCAGCACAGGACAGCAACATAAAAACAAATTAATGCCCAAATCAATGTGGTCCTCATCAAAGATTTAAAGAAGCCTACACACATCTAAATGACCTTTCACCACATCCACAGGAATGTCCCCAACCCCATCGAGCAGCGTTGAGTCTGGATAATGCTTGGATGGGTGACCACCATGCATGACAGGCCGTCATAGGCAGCTGCCAGCTGTCCTACACGGCAATCAGCAGAGGTAACGAATCACAATCCTTTGTTGTACTGTATGTCTGTGCTCCCCACCTTCACCAACCCACACTGGCCAGTTTGGTGACGTATGTTTGCTCAATCAACTACCCTGGCGCACGTCAAGTCGAAAGGCCCACATCCAGCAGTGGATTGAGTGAAGGACGGTACATGTACACACAGCTGAATGAGAGCCAGATGTCTCGTTGCAAGACCAGCGGTGTTTCACTTGTGTTCTAATCAGGGGTATCGATTGAATCTTTTGTTACTCGTATCTACGACCCCTGTGACACAGAACATCTCCAGGGTCGAACCGTCCAGTGCCCAAACGAGGAAAATCAAGGCTGTGCTTCAATACCAGTCGATACCGTTAAAAATACTCGACATAATGTTCCGTGCAACCTAACACCACGGCGTGACGCGATGTCCAGCGCCAGGGTTTTGAACGGCTCAAACTCCAGCAGCGTCCAATTTTAACTGCAAAACAATATCGGGATTCTGCTGCGATGTCACAGGCGACAGGATGAAATGTCTTCGACGGCGCTGGGGCAGTGGGCGGGGTTGTTGGGTGGAAGTTTATTTACGACTCGGATCAATGGCACGCGACCAGGAATGACTCGGCGGGGAGCACTATCAGCGGAAACTTCCCAATGGCGGAATACACGACACGGGTCGCAAGGTACGCGGGCCCTGCATGCATCTGCTGGCAGTACAAGATGCTTGGCATGTAACGACGTACCAAATTTAAATCGATTCTTATAACCAGGATACAAGCACTGCAGCGCGCGTGTGTAAGAATCCATTAGGATTTGTGCAAGTGACATACCAAGGTTACGTTTAGGTTAGTGGAGCAAATAAATTTGTTAAAATGAGATAGAAAAGATTCTGATACTATCGAGACGTTAAAAAGGATATGAAAAAGAACCGATTCCTGAATCGAATCATGACCCCAAAAGGTCACAGTTCACCGAATTTCTGAGAGGGCAAACCGTTACATGGCTACAAAAACACTACTGCTCTGACAAACATCGTTGCTGACAATCAGAATTGGTTTTGGAGCTCACGGGATGCTCCGTTGGGCACTACATAAGCACAAACGGGAAAATGGTGACAGAGACATTTGGGATGGGGAACTAACGATTGGCCTCTGCGCTATTTTTCACAGCAGCAGGAGTATTTAAAACTACACTACCACCAGAAGTCTTTATTTACAGAGCTGCACTTGTGCACAGCTGATAATTATGGGACGCTGCCATTCCTTATCACAGGGTGTTACTTTTCAATGTCGAGGCCAGAGCACAGATCACGCCTGCCCCTCAAAGTGCCGAGTGAAAATGCAGTATGGCAGGAAACTTTCGGAAGGAAAAGAGGAAGGACTCACAAGGCGCACACACCCCCGCCGCACGCACACACGACGTACACAAATAAGAGGGACAAAGACAGGGTGAGCCTATCGGATGAGTCTTTATTGAGTTTGAAAAGAATCACTGGTGCAGAGTGCAGACTCGACGGCTACACAAGGCAATCGAAAGCGCCGTGATACGGGAGGGGTGGCCCGAGCCCGCTATTTACAGAGACACTCTGGAGACTCGGGGGGCAACCGCTGGTCGGGGTATGCGGTCCCAACAGTCGCGTAACTATCCAGTGTGCAGAAGGTGCAACTGCATCGAGGGCCAACCAAGCATCAGGCTACGAAGATCTGGGGGGGGGGGGGAATTTGACAGGGAGCACCCCCTCCAGCTCCCCCCCCCCGATCCACCAATTGAATTCCTTGCACCCAGGCCCATGCCGGCCACGCTACGCCACTCTCCCAATAATTTGGGGGATTTGTTTGAAACACAACAGAACCACTGAGGATTGGGGAGGGGTCGATGGCTTTTCGCTGTACAAAGATAAATATTTGCCTGTCCCGGTGCTTTGCACCCAAATCCCCGAGCCAAGTGAGGGCACGGCAAACGTCGGAGTCAAAGCAACGCGGGTCCCAAACCCTGGGCGTCGAAAGCACGTGCGGGTTAGGTTTTTATTTTCCAAATGTATCATGTGAAAAAAATGTCCCAGTGATATAGATTTTTGTATGCAGATCTTCCTGCATTGAGAAATACTCGAAATTGGATTGCACTGCTCTTCTGTTGCTGGTGCGAGACGGTGAATTCGCAGTGGATACATTAATCACTTTTACTGCTTTTTTTTTACTGCTTTTAACCATTCGGAGATGGCGAAACAGTATGGCCCACAAAAGTCACTGTGTGTCCCTCGGAGAATATTTGCACGCTACCAAGTGACGAACACGACAGAATCAGACTTGCGATGACACTTTCTGTACTTTTTCCTGGGCATCTTTGCCCAAACAAAATAAAACATTGCAATTAAAAAGTTTCTGCTTTTATCGTCGGGCCTCAAAAGTACATTCTGCTTTTACATGAAGTCACGCAGAATGTTTAAAATCTGAGCAACACTTGACAGCATACACACGATTAACAGTGATTCAGACAACCAGCCCACACAACTACATGGCCTTCTGCATGCAACCGAGAAAGTTCCTGGCACAGCCTTAAACGCCTCCCTGCTCAGATGACCATGTGGTGGCGATCATCTCCAACGGCGGTGGGAATTCCATATTCCTATGACAAGTATTGATGTAACCATAGAAAATACAGCTGTTGGCTTTCTTTCACCAAGTATTACTCATTTTACCAACGCCCCCCCGCCCTCTCAAAGTGAAGACGGTTCATGGTGATGACTTGATGACTTGTATTGCAGTCCTGTAGTTCTACCTAGGCACGAGCCAAAGGGGCAATATATTATTTAAAAATGATCATCACTGCTAAACGTAGCACTCTTAGAAAGATCAAGTTCAGCGGGTGGCAGGTTGAATTACCTTGACGTTTGGTAGAAGCCTGCATAGTAACTGTATTCTCCAGATTATAAGACGCACTTTTTAACCCTGTATTTTAAAGCAAATCTTTTGGGTGTGTCCTATCATCCGGTAAGGGTGTGCATGTGTGACCAGATTTCTAAAACTTTATTGATGCCAAGCACAAGTTTTGGGTGTGTCTTACTTTCCAGAGCATCTTGTAATCTGGGGAATATGGCAGTAGGGGTGGAATGATGTATCGAGTCAACTAAAAACGATTTTTAAGTTGACAATACAATAAAAGAATCACGTGCGCAAGAATCAACGGTTCTAGATTCGTATATGTTGTAATGGGTTCACATTACCCCTGCAGCCACTAGAGAAGCTACCATTCACCACAATGCTTCCTTATTGTTTCCCTGAATCGAACCGCAAATCTGAATCACAACCCGGAATCACGCCAGTTCATTGTATCGTCATGGGGGGAGAACCGTTTCACCCCTGATGATATACTAATTTTCACCACGACAAACATCGCTAAATGACCGCAGTGTGGAAACACCTAACAAGGCTCATCCTCCACGAGCTTGTGAAGTCCAACTCGAAGCATGTGATATACATGAAAAAGCCACGCGTGTGGCTTTGAACGTCTGGCAGTGTCTCGTACACGATTTCACTTTTCAACTCGCATCGTCTGGAGCACAACTGAGTTATGGTACAGGACGCCGCGGTTTAGCTATACACGAGTACGTGAGAATAAGAAACGAAAGAAACCAAAAACTCAAGTTGTCGCCTAATGCGGAACCGGTCAATGTTTAACTCCCTACTCGTATCAAGGCATAGCGTTTATCCGAAAAACGCACGTTTTTATCATTTTTTATTTTTACGATCATGGGCGGCGGTTTGCCGCTCGTTCTGTACAGGGAGGGCGTCGGGAGAGGGGGGGGAATGAAAGGCGGCGGAGGATGAGGAGTAGGAGGAGAAGATTGAGGAGGAGGCTCCTCGCACGGAGGGAGGACACGCACACACAGAGTCGGGATAGCGCGCGCTAGGCCTGTCGGGAGAGAGAAACACAGAAGAGGCAGCGGTCAGCACAGGGCGGGACCCACGGCACAGCAATTGCATGGCAGGAGAGAAAAAGCTAGGCTGAGATGCCCCATCTCTGAGGGGGGGGGGGGTGAGGGGCAGCTGTCCCATTGTTGCCATGTCAGAATATTTCACTCCCAAGTCCAGAGGCCCTCTGTCTCTGTATTCAGTGGTGTTTATAGATATTTTTGGAAAGTTATGAGAACCCAATTCACGTGATGATGATGTTCATTTCCGTATAATTTTCGTTGAAAATGCTCCAATGTCTTAATTATCCACAGATTGCCAAGAGAAAATCGCCAAGCGAACGTGTTTCAGCCATTTCATAAAGGTGGCAATGTAATCTGGAAATAACAGACTCATTGACCAATAAACAATATATTGTTTCCGTATGCTACGTCAGACCAATTCAACGGAATATGACAAATCAAATTTTACCCTTAAAATAAATAGATTTTTTTTACAGCAACCGGAAGCGGCAAGCAGAAGCCAGCGGGGGGGTTAGTAGCAGAGGGTAAAGGAGCCGCACGTGTGCAAGCAGGCCGGGGCTTGCGGTCATTAGCGGCGTCGCTTGACGGAACGGCTTCGACTGCTACTTACCCCATTCCACTCGACGCCCATACTGACCTCCTCCCCGCCATCGCGGCCGCTCTCATACTTGACGGTGACGTTGTCGACGTTGAGGCTCTCGCGGCTACGCCGCTTGTCCTGCTCACCATCATTCAGGATGTCAGCCACACGCGGCTGGCGGATCACGTCCACACCCTGTGGGGGGGGCAGGGGGTGGCGGAGAAGGAGCGGGGGCGTCAATTACAATTAGTCGCACCACTTTCTCTTGCAGAGTGCTGGCCTTAATATATGGCTGTTAACAGTACTTGTTGCCAGGTGGCCGGGTGGCTCAGAGGTCAGTGTACTAAGCTGACCCAACTGAGAACCTGCGGCTCGAATCCAGGTTTTAATCACCTGTGATTAAACCGAAATCTCAGGTGTTGTGAGTTGATGGCCTCAGGTCACCATTGACTGCGTGAAAAAGCCAACACATTCAATGTATTCCTGCACTTAATTTGGCTGAATTCCAGATCTGAAAACGTAGACATTTTGACTGTCACGTGATAAACAGTGCTCTCATATGGCAGAGCAGGTGGGAATGTGTTCCCCTCTAACTGTGTGGACCAAGTCACAGAGGTAGCTCTGTGGGTATTTGCTTCTGCGGGCTGTTCTCTAACACCAAGGATTGCACTGCTGTGCAAAAGATCGGTATAGATTATCTCATGACACAAAATTTATTGCACAATTGGGATAAAATTATCCTTTTTTAAAAAGAAGCATACATAACCAGCCAAACACAATTAACTCAACGGAGCTTTGCGAAAATGGACGACGTGTGGGGCATTTGCACTAGTTTGGCGGCGGCGGCGCAGTGACGCACACTTAAAACTAATACATCATTCAATGCTAACTACACAGGACCACAGTTTTCACAGCAAAAAACTACGAAGCGGTCAGGGAATAAAAGAGCGTGGAATGCGATGCGGCGTCACGACGCAGCCGACTGGGATTTACTGACCTGGCGTAAGCTCAGTGGGTAAATCACAGCGGAGTGGCAAAGTATATTTTTCCCTCAAAGTGTCTAATCTTGCTTAGTCAGAGGTAATTATTTCAGCAGCAGTAACAAGTAACAATGAATTAACACATGGTTCAATGCTGTGGGGGGGGGGGGGGCGGTAGAGATTTACTGCCAACAGCCAGACAGATTTTTTTTTCATGTTCGTAGCTCGGCGCCAGCCGTAACGAGACGTTGATGCGCTGACCCGAAATGAACTTCTGCCGAGGGACTCATCTCGTCGCTTACATTGGTGAGCGAGAGTGCCTGCTGAAGAAAAACTGTCACTCTTATGATAACGGCCCACGAGAGCGGAACGGCAACAGGGCCGGCTACTACTTGCTCTCCTGCTCGTCTCCTTACCCGACGTCGAAACGTGACCACCGCAAGCTACAGGAGGGGGCGGCATGAGCTCTGAGCAGGCTTTAGCCTCCGTGACCAACTCAACAGCACGCGACTCCCCCAGGTCTACATTATACACGATGTGTACATACGTGTGTTGAACTTCTTTCGCACCGTACATAGCTGTGGAATCTCAAGGATTACCATTAGCAGCGGTGTACAAAATACGTGCCGAAAATGTTCGGCTTGTCACCGTTGACAGACACTCTCTTTTAACTTAAGCTCACACGCACAATCAGCCATTGTTTTGGGCCATCGTCCTTATTTATAATGAGGACAGAGAGGGAAGGCAGAAGACTGGGTCAGAGTTGTTGGAAACATGAAATTACGACGCGTTGTCTTCAAAGGCACCACTGTGCAAAGCAAATTCTAAATCAAACCCGGATGGTACATGGATAGCTGTCCGTGAATGCACATTGGCTTGCAACCATTTTGAAATAAACATTAATTTATCAAGATTATTATTCATGGATAATAGAAATAATTTATTGACAACATACTTAATATTTTAATAAAAAAATTCACTTGTCCTCCTCCGGTGAATGGTATCGATGGTGCGTGTAACAATTCGCCCACTGAGCGGCGTGAGGAAATTCCACAACTCGGAGCCACAGTTGGATAAAACAATCCATTATTTTTCTCGACTCATCTGTCTCGCCAGCGATGCGTGCCTCGTTTTATCACGTCTCCCTCGCTTACAGTCTACCTCATACGTTACCTTCTCATTTGTATTGACTGTTTCATGTGAACTGTTTGCACAAGTACACAGACAGTAGAATTTGCATTAATCAAAATAACATGAAGCATGGTTTAACAATTCCGAGTGCTTTGGAGGACTTTGAATTGACAAAGGCCTATAAATCACTGACACGACTCGACGCACGCATCATGGTGAAACAATCGCCCTGAATCGGTGAACCTCGACTTGCTTAGTATCGGCAATAAGTCGGCAAGAACACATACCGATCTACGGGTTCAGGAGGACCAGGGTTGTCACAAGGACCGGTGCGTGAGAATTGATACACTATGCAGACCGATTCAAGCTCCACAAGAAGCAGTTGCTTACGCTGTCCTGCTGCTGCGGTGCGCGCGTGGGAGAGACGCAGGTGTGACAACAAAACAAGGGGTCAACGCTGCAACAGTAAAACTCTCACGTGACTCAAGTCTGCCAGCGGCAGGGATGTGATTTGTTTGTTAGTCTTCTGGCAGCGTGTATGTGCTGGTAGAGCTGAAGGAAGCGTGCTGATCGTGAGTTCGACCAGATTATTTGTGATCTGCAATTCGTCTATAACCATCAACGCTAACATCCAGGGTACAACTGATATTGGGAGATTGGAGGGAGTTGCGATGAGAATACTTGGGGGGAGGGGTGGGGTATTGCTGGAGTGAAGTCGAATCCCTTGTTATCAAAGTCAATGGTGAGATAACAAGCAGACTGTGAACTCGGGGGGGGGGGGGGGGGTAGGGATTGGTTAGAGACACGTAGACCGAGGTGGTCACGCCGTGGTTTATGAGCTGCAGATGAAAGAAGGATCAATAGAATAATGGAGATGATGAATGAAGAGCCGAGGGGAAGAGCCCCGATAAGACGGAGAGACGGGGCTAATGAAGACCTGAGTGGGAAAAGAATTGCTATGGAGGGCTAAACAACGGGCAGCAGGAGAGAATTTGCATTCTTTGACGGCGGGATTGAGGAGTAGGGTGGCAGATAGAATATCCATTTTATTTTGTTTCAGCAAAGGAATCATTTGCATGCATGACCTGGGTCGCAATTGTTGACGTGCTGCGACGATCGTATCTGCACGAGATATTTGAATGCAGGGCAAGTGGGACTGCGCGACATGTTTGAACGGCTGGGGTGGGTAAGAGATAAGGATGTAAGTTTGAAAAAACAGGTGAGATAAGGGATACGTTTGAATAGTGGACGAATAAGATACACGGACGAGATGACTGAACGCAGGGGCGAGCGGGGCCCTGTGTGAATGCGGAACGTTTTGAGTGCTGGGTGAGCGAGAGAAGAGAGACGACCCGCTGTGGCGTGGCTGTGCCCCGGTGGTGCGTGTACCTGGCGACGGGAGCGAGCGGCGCACTCCTCTAGGGTCTCGGCTGCCTCCAGCTTGCCCTGCCGCCGGTAGAGAGCGCTGAGGTTCTTCAGCGTCGTGCCCACCGTGGGGCTGCACCACCACCACACAATAAACACACCGTCACGGTCACCACAAAGCTACTGCCAAAGCCACACACCAGAGTTCAGTCACTTCTGTTAGCCTCGGTTTCTTGAGCAGTCGTTGACAAGTTCCCCGGTTCTGTTATCAATACCAGAGTTTAGTCACTTCGGGCCAACTCAGCTTCTTGAGCAGCCGCCGTCACGCTAACAATACACGAACGTTAATTCTAGATTTGAAGCTTTCGTGACTGCAAGGATTCATATTCTTAGGTATTTTCGGTAAAGTCATGTAGGTAAAAAATTTAAATTAATACAAGTTACATAAATAAAAAATATTTATAAATTTTTTTATTTTTTTTTATTTTACTTTTATTAATTTAATTTTTTTTCCTACGTGACTTTACCGAAAAAACCTAAGAACACGAACGTTAAGTTCAGGCTGATGAACCAACCAGGACAAGAGAGAATTAACACACAACCAAGAGGGTACAAAACGAGACTTAAAATAATAAATTTGTGTCCCAAATTGCGAGTCCATCGATTGGTGAGGGGGTGGAATGGAGAGAAATCTGAAGGCCATCTCACCTGTCCACCTTGCAGGCCTTGTACCAACTCCCGTACTCCCCATAGGGAGGACTCTCCTTGTGCTTGCCCTATGCACGTACACACAGACAAGCACACACAAGCATGGATAAGAGCACGCATGCATGCACGCAAACGCACACGCTTGCACACACAGGGCTACACACAATCGGGCAACAAGCTCAAAGTGGACTCAACAATGTGTAACAATGAAATATACATTCATAGACTTACTTTTTAACGTTTCAAAAGGTTGCTATTTAACATTTATAGCAACATTATACGACATTGCAATGTGTAAAGTCACGTATAAAGAGAAAATAATAAATTAAATTAAATAAATGCCTGCAGTCAAGAAAGCTCCAAATTAAGATTGCAATGTGTATTTATATAGAAAGCAAATGCGGCCCACATCACGGTGCTGTATAGAAATAGCGGGTAGATTGATTTTGTAGAGGGAGAGACAGTTATAGTGAGAGGAGAAAGGGTCTTGATTTGCTTGAGTCTGCACTTGCGAGAGACATTTTTTTCCCTTCTCCCTCTGACGGACCGTCCTCTTTCTCTCCATGAAACAAACGCGCCCACCCTCCACCGTACAAGCACCTTGAAATTGCGGTCGCCTCTAGGCGCCATCTATGGCCGAGGTGTGAGGGGTAGTGAGAGGCATTGGCCAAGCGCACACCAACCTTGTCCTTGCTCTGCTCCTCCCTCTCCTCTGCGTGCATCCAGATCGGCTTGTTCTCACCTAGAGTCAGGAACGGGCTGCTGTTAGCGAGCGCCTGGCGTTCTACTGGGCGGGCGGAGCTGCAACAATTCTCGGTGCCATCACCCCACCACCAGTGCCGGATTAAGCTAGTGCTGGGCCTGTAGCATATGTTATAAAGGGGCCCTAAATAAAAAATACGTAAATATTAAAACACAATTTTTTTACTTGCATAGTAAAGTAATTGTATTTTTTTATTTGCTATACAGCCAGATAATACGACAAATCGCTAACCTTAAACACGCAGTCGTTCATAACAGTCGAAGGTGGTATAGTACTATAGTCATAGAGCAAGTGCAGAATCACTGAACAGGAATTGATAGCTTGAAAGCATTTAGAGTGGGGCCCTTGAAAGTGCGGGGCCCGTAGCATATGTAGCTACTTTTGCTACGAGGATAATCCGGCACTGCCCACCACCCCAGCTGCCACTCGCACCCACGGCGATTTGATTGAGCGTCGCGATTCAGGAGTTGCGATTACATTCACGATTTGGATTCTTTTTGTTTTTACATTGCGGTCAATGTAGCAGCCGCTCATCCTTTGCTGAATGCAGTGGACACCACCTGCCTTTTTCTTTACACTCCTGATGATGACTACACCAATTATATTACGCATTAATTTCAGGCTAAGCTGACCTAGGGGAGGTTAAGGCCAGGTTCAGACAGCTAATACTGCTGGCGTGTGGGCATCGTGGCCACTGTCTATTGCCTGCTGTGCATATAAAGGAGTGAATGTCTCATTGAGTGACAGCATCCTGCTGCAGGAATGTGGAATCTCCATAACTGGCTCTGCGCCACAAACAGGTATAAGCGTCGCCCCCGATGCTTGTTTGAGTGGAGAAACACTTGACATGTTTTTACTTGCATGTGTAAACACACCACACACCCGATGATCTATGCAGATCAGGTGCTCATGTTGTATTGAAGCTAACGAAGCTAACTAATGTTTATAACACGAGGTGTACAAAAATATATGAATAATACAAAAGAGATGGTAAATATTAGGTAAGACATAATCAATTCTTGACTCAAAGCATGGCCCTGAAAAACGACAATTCATCAAATTCCCTTGGAGGCCAGTTAATTGTTACCCTCTTCTATTTATACACTAGGTTTGCCACAATATAATTTGTCACGATACGATATCAAATATCACGATACCCGCGTCTTAAAGGTTTGCAATTGTATTTCTACATATATTTTGCATTGTTTTTTGTCCGTTGCTATACTAACCATTGTTACTAAATATCACCTACGAGTTCACTCAATGCAAACCTAGCACAGGTCTTTGTATTGATTGTAATCATACAATCAATAATGCTTAGAATGCACGGGCTGTAATGCAGATGCAAAGAAATAATTCAAGGTCCTTTGAAAATGATGACACCACATAACTGCCATGGCATCAATTGCTTCTGAAAATGTTTTGCAAGGCACCAATTATATGGATAATAGCTATATATTTATTACGTTTATTATATTAAGGTCATTATTTCATAAACGATTTGTCGATAAATTTTATATTTAAGGAAAATGTCACAATTTTGCTAAATGTGTTAATTATATCGTAGAGTACATTATATCCCTAATGCGCACACAAAGACCCCCGTATAGCCTTAACAGACAGTTGAGGCAAGTGCTGTTAGGGAGCACCTATGAAGGCCAGCACGGCACACGAGGGGGTCGGTGGCCAGCACTACACCTGGTACTCATTTGAGGTTGAGTTGACTACCCCCCGACACACACAAAGACCCCCCGCATAGCCTTAACAGACTGTAGGGGCAAGTGCGTTAGCGAGCACCTATGAAGGCCGGAACGGTACACGAGGAAGTGGGTGGCCAGCACCACGCCCGACCGCCTTTGTCTCCCCAGTGGCGATGTTTACGCACCGCACCAGGTACTCATTTGAGGCTGAGTCGACCTAGGGGAGGCCCAGGACTGGTTCAGATAATCGTCACTGGCGTTGACCATGAGCAGGAATCAAACCCGGGTCGCCAGGTTCATAGCGCAGGGTGGTGATGTCACCGTATGGTGCACACAGCGTGACACCATCACCACTCCCGCTGGGCCGGCAGCCATCTCACGAGACCGTGCAATATTCACGTTTCACACTTCCCCTGTGAATAATTAAAATTAATTCGTGCTTCCTTACAACCAAAAATAATCCACAATCTGCAAAAACAAGTGGGTGAAATAAAATCACTTTGATGGTTAAGATTGTTCATTAGATTGGATTTTTAAAAATTTTAATTGCGATGTTCTTCAAGTTGTACAATTACGTTAACATTGCAACAATCGCTCAATGGGTTTACTATTTGTTTTTTTGCTCGAATGCGTGTTGTTCACATGAGTAAAAAAAGACGTTGCTAAATTTTGAATGAATAAAACATTAAACCTCCTATTAAACCAATTATCCTCATCAAGAGCCGCGTAACTATTCACGTCCACTGGGCATGTATAATGATGAGGGAAAAAATGAGTCTGAATTTTATAATGCATATCAGTGGAATAATTGATCCTGACTTGTAATTGGAAACCCAGTGACACTATGACGTGTGTGACTTTGATCGGAAATATGCTTTTCGGTGAAAGATTGAAACAAAAACTGATACAAACTGCAGGGTATAATGTGGCCCGGTTGTCCTTGGCCAATGAGGTCTTAGCAGCAGCACCAGCAGGCTGACCTATACAAGGCCAGGTGGTCTAGCGCTCAACACGCTCACCACAAAGTCAGTCCACCGTTTCATTTTCACCACCGCTAAAACCACCAGCACCGTCATCTCTGTGGGGTAAATGATCAGAGTTCGTCGACTTCTGCTGAAAAGTTGTTTCCAAAGACCCTGCGATGGACACAACGACCTGAGAGGAGACGCTGCGCGCGAATGGTATCTTGGAAATCGCGATGGCGTTCATGTTTATTTCCGATTTTATAACAAATGTGGCTATCGGCGTCATGTCACGAGATAAAAGTGTCCATTTAGGAACCTTCCAGAGCAGCGCCGTCATCATGCGTATCAGATACTGGGGCTACAAAATGACATTTCATCGACTACTTCTGAGATACCTTCAAATCACCTTTTCTACTACACTCTAGGGGTGGCACACCTTCCAGTTAGCACTGTTAGAAGGAAATACTTGTTGGATCTGTACAGATTTGTGTATTCTCAAAGTTTAGCCAAATTATGCGAAAAACACAAAGCAGGATAGATTGTCTTCGTGTCGCCATTTGTGACCAGGCAAAGACCGTCAAAGTCATTCAACCGAGTTTCATCACGGACGGCTGAATCTCACATTCGAAACCAAGATCTAAGTGATGCGGCCACAGGGATCTAAGGCCAGAGACACTGGTCCACCTCTGACATCCTACGCTGACCTCGCTGCGAGGTCACGCGATGGATTTGTCCGTTTTTAAAGTGTTTGTGCATTTTCCCCATGTTATCCCGATTGTGCTATTATGTTTACCGAACGATACAATTTATGCCACTTATTGTTGTGCAGTCCTTCACGACAGGGCTGAAACCATGAACTCGCAATGCGAGAAAACCCGGTTTAATCACCGATTGGAACCCAGGAACGCAGCAATGCCAGCTCAGCGCTCTGACCTCGGCCTCCTGCGTCATGTCATGAATTTTGAAGGATCGGGCACGGTCACTTGATGAAGCAAAGGCGTAAGTTGGGGTAATGAAAATACCATTGCCCCCCGCGCTTGCTCAGCCCAAACAATATGCGAATGTTAAGTGCAGGCTAATGAACCAACCAGACAAGAGAGAATTAACACCCAAACAAGAGGGTACAAAACGATTGCCCCATCATTTTTTGACTGCGTGTGAAATGAGAGCCGACGTGATGCGCGCGGCGGTGCACATCGAGGCCAACGCAGTTCCGGCGACGTTCGATACGCGGTCGGTGCGAAGGGCTCGTACCGTCGACGGAGCCGAATTCCTTCTCGTGCGCGCGAGTCAGGATGTCTTTGTAGAGGCCCTCGGCCTCCTTGTACTTGCCCTGCTTTAGGTAGCAGGAGGCCTGCGAATGGCAGAACATGCGCACATGCATGTGCAAGAAAATACACACGGTTATCGCTGCGGCGGGAGGTACAAGGGTGGTACAAAAAGTTAAAGGAATAACCAAACAACATTGATGTTGCAGGCACTTATACTTCGTGTTGAGTATACTTAAACAACAACAACAACATGTCATCGACAAAATAATCTACACATTCTAGAAAGGTGAGCTCTTTGTTCTGCGAATGGGTGGCGGCCCTCAGTCAAAGGATGGTTTGACTCTTCTCATTTATGCTCGACAGTGGTGTGAGAAGCCACACGACCGTGAAGTGGTGCTACTCTACCATAGCAGCGCAGAATGTGTAATGGCAACAGCAATGAGGACATTGAATAAAGTCTGGTGAAGATTAATAAAAGCAAAAGCAATGTTATGCAGACCACACTGATATCGGACACCCGTTAGTGCGCCCGATAAGTGAGCGAGCGGGTTAGCCAGTGATTGTCCGTGAAAGCTAGTAAATGAAAGAATGGCAATGCAAATGAGCAAGTGAGTCAATGAGTGAATGAGTGAGAGAATGAGCGTATGAGCAAGTGAGCGCAAATGAATGTGTGAGCAATGGGCGAGTTGTTAAGAAAATGAGTGCACAAGCAAGCCAGTGAATGCTCGAATACACTAACAAATAAGCAATCATCTTAAAGTGCGAGTGAGAGAATGAGTAAATGAGAGAGTGAGCGCATGAGTGAGCAAGTGAATGAGCAGATGAGCTTGAGAGTGCAAGGCATGCGAGTGAGGGCGTGGAGTCCAAGTGAATGTGAGTGCTTAAGCGAACAACTGAGGACGCAACTAAGCAAGCGAGCAACGAGCGACAGCGAGCGACCGAAGGAGTGCCATGGTAAGTAAGCGCCAGCTCACCAGGTTGTTCTTGGTCTTGGCCACATTAGGGTCGTCGGGGCCCAGCTGGCTCTGGTAGATGTCGAGTGCGCGCTGGTAGTAGTGCTCCACCTCCTCGTACTTGCTCTGGTTCTGGCACAGCAGCGCCAGGTTGTTCAGCTGCTTGGCCACATCCGGATGCACTTTGCCCAGCACCTGGTGGGAGGACGACATAGCAGGAGACGCAATCATTGCGGTTGTCCGCGAGCCAACTCAAAACTGGCGCCGACACTAATTTTGATCGATTGACTGCATTGATTTGAAGCAGTGGAGCGGCGATGCAGTGGGAAGCGTACTGCGCTATGAACCCGATGACCTGAGTTCAATGTCTGGCCATGGCCAATAATTATAATCGCTGGTGCGTGCTATCTGAAACGGTCCCGGGCACCCACAGCTGCCATTCACCATCGTGCACTGACCAGCATGAGAGAGTATGGTCCAACGACCCCCATAAAAAGTATTAGCCCATGGAGACAATCATTTTTTTTTAAGGGAAGACCTTCATAAAAAAAAAGAATGGAACAAATATCAATAACTACAATGGCATAATAATAGAGAATCGTAATAATAAAGCCTAATATTAACCCATTAAACTTTACTCATTTGGGATAGTCCTAAATTAAGCTGTTTGGCTACTTCCATTCACGAGTGTTTGGCTTCATATGGGAAGATATCAGAGAACCCGAAGAGAAAACACACTGGCATCTCCTGGCCAAATCTCGCAGCCTCAAGTCCTGGTGGTGGTGACCCATCCGAGTACTAACCAGCCTCAAACTCCCAGGATCCAAAAAAAAATATGGTGCGATTTTAATTCATCACTATTTATTTATGATAATAAGAGTGACAACGCACACAAGACACCACGCCTCAAGAAAATGAAACACGGCTCATATGAAATGGACGGCACAAGGTGTGGGAAGTAAACGGGCACGGCAGGTGAGGCTCAGCCAAATAAAAACCCCCGAGCCGTTTCACAGACAGCACGACACAAACATAACCCATTTCCCAACTTCTGTCGCACACCCGTGGCGCTAAATCATCTCATGAACCCTACCCTCATCTTTCATCTGCGCCGCACAAAACGCCCAGAGGCAAACACGTCGTCGGCACGGGCTAACAACGACGGCACGGTGATAATGTCTTTGTCGGGAATCTGGCACCGTCACCGAGATGAGAGGCGCTGTCCCCGCTGTCTGCGCGGGCGAGCCGCCGGTCCCGCCGACGTACCGAAAGGGGTGCCCCCATGGGCGTCCCGAAGGCAGGACCAGCCAATCAAGTCAGCGAGCGAACTGCAGTCCTTCTGCCCACGCCATTCCCAGCGCCAGACGCCTGATACAGCCAGAGCAGCCTCTGAGCCTTGCTCGATTTACTCAGCCCATGTTTTTTTTACAATTGTTCCATGAATAACGTGCAAAAAAAGATTGTGACTCGTCGCAGCTCATACCGAACCAGTTTTGTGAGTACATGTCAAAATGAGAAAGGTTAATGAATTTTTACAGCATGCCTGCGGCATAGACAGTGCACGACCGCGCCCACCAAACTCGAAATTGCTCTCATGCGCCAACCCTTCACTGTCGATAATAACGCTTCCTGATGCACGAACGAAAGTGTTGCTCTCCTGTCCGAGTAACCGAATAGATACACGGGTGTTTTAAATCCGAAAATATGACTGACGCCGAGAGATGAATGAGAACTTTGTGACACTTGCTCAGTCCGAAAGTTGTACAAACAAGACCGATTACTGCCAACACAAAACCGTATTGTACGTACTGCACCCTGCAAACAAGCAAGCCACTGTCAAAAACAAGCACGCTACTTTGCTCAGCACGAAACGCCGAGCAAAGTGGAAATTCACGCAAAGTTCGTTCAACCCCTCAAGGGCCAGCACTGCGAACCCAAATCTCTTGGCTTCACAAAATACTTGTTTGCCAGAGGTGGGGAAGCGTACACTATCCCATCTGTAGCTCAATACCATCGCCCACTCTTAAATCTTACGCCATCACCCGCCAATCTCACATCACACTCAGCAGCAACCAAGCAGCTGTCCTGATAAATACTCCTCCTTTTGCGATCACTCCTCCTTCCACCACAACGCACAACACAACAATTATTCCCATTTGGCAGATTAGCCAATACAGTACCCACAATGCCGGGCTCAAACCGTGCCAGAGCCCTGATCTCACCTTCTCCCGAATCTCCAGGGCCCGCTTGCAGAGCGGCTCCGCCTCCTTGTACTTGCCCCGCTTGCCGTACAGCACCGCCAGGTTGTTGAGTGTGGCGGCCACCTGGGTCAAAGGTCATGCGATGACAGGGCAGTGCACAGATATGCATACTCGCCAAAGGCGGCATGGTATTAGATGCTTATTAGATGTGTAGTGCCCGAATTCAATTACTTTTTCTGAAAAGTCACTATGACATTACCGTTCCATACGATGATGCACACTGGACAAGACTGGCGATGTAAGGGTGAAAGGCAGCCAAAGGAGGCCTTCATTCAGAAGTGGATAAACAATGGCTCATGATGATGATGGGTGAAATTAAGATGCTTTGGTCCTACCGCCGGGTGGTCCTTGCCCAAGGTCTTCTCTCGGATGGCCAGAGCATCGTTCAGAAGGCTCGCTGCCTCTTTGTATTTATTTTGATCCCTGCAACGGACATGGGTGACGCACTATTGGAACAACACGGAGAATTGTTTACTTTGTACGAGCATAGGAAAACGACTAAGATCCCCTATTCAGATGTGGTGGGTAGGTGTATGATTGAGTGAAAGATGTAAGTGAGAGGTGATTAATCGAGTGAGTGATTGAGTCAACATGCAAGTTAGTGGCTGAGTGAGAGAGAAAGTGAGTGCATAAGTGTGCAATTGAGTGTGTGAGTGAGCAAATGATTGAGCAAGTAAGCGAGAGGGTTCCTGAATGAGTGAGCGACTGAGCAAGTGCATGACTAAGTGAGTGAGTGCATAACCGGATGAATAAAAAAAGTGAACACGTGAACAAGCGATTGAGTGAGTGAACGAGCGAGCAAGCCGTCGCGCGCGTCACCTGTAGACGAGAGCGAGAATGTTGAGCATGGTGGCCACGTCCGGGTGGTCGTGGCCGCTCGTTTTCTCCAGGTCCTCGAGCGCTTGCTTGCAGAGCGGCACGGCCACCTCGTAGCGGCCCTGCGACGCGTACTGGATCACCAGGTTGTGCAGCGTGCGCAGCCGCGCCGGGATCTCGTAGCCACCCTGCTGCGCTGCCGCCGCCGCGCTGTTCACGGCGTTGTGGCTGGGCTGGCCTGCGCAGCCATGCCCGCAAGGAGGTAGGTATCGGCAAGAAGACGTGGTGGGTTGAGCAGAGTACGGACAGATGCTGATAATGCGCAGCTCTGATGGCGATGATTGTGATGGTAACAAAGATGGCAATGAAAATGACAATGATGATGGTGGTGATGATAATTATTGTTGTTAGGTATCGTGAAACCTATGAGGATGGTGATAATAAAGATGACAATCAGGATCATGATAATTACAGTGATGATTACGATGATTGCTAGCAATGAAGGAAATGGTGATGACGACGAAGATAATGATGAAAGTGAAGACAATAATGATGATAAACATGACAGCAATGACAACAGTGATAATTATAATAACTATGCTGATGACAATGGCAATAATGATGATAACAATGACGATAGCGATGACAAAGATAAAAAGAGCAATGACAATGATCATTACGATGACAATGACCTCACTGATAACAGTAACAATATCGGCAATGTTGATAATGATTTTAATGAAGATGATGGCATTGGTGACGAGGATTGTACCTTGCTCTTGTTCATCCTCCTCGTTGGGGAACAAGTCATCCAGAGGCTCCTTGCAGGGCTCCGACACTTTCTCCTCTTGCTGTGAAAACCAAACAGCAAACATCAACAAGTTGTGTATGCACAAGCTCGTGCAGTGTTTCAGCGCAAAATCAACAAGGCCAAAAATACCAATCGCTCTCTGAACCGCATTGCAGTCTCTCACAGTAAAAAGTTCAAGGAACATCATTTAAAGAAACATTTGGTGCAACAAGAACGCACAGAGCCGATTCCACTATTTTTTGATCGATTACAGGTACAGTCATAAAACGATTTATTGTGGCGCAGCGATTGGCACACTGATCTGCGTTCGATTCACATCCTCGGCTAACCTCAGTGGCGAACGCCGCCAGAACTGGTCCTGGGCCCTCCCCTAGGCCAACTCAGATAACCGCGAGGCCACTTCTCCCCGACACTCATGTACATGCATCAACATACATACAAGAAAATACATACACAATCACCCAGGCCCGGCGCCACTATATATCCCCATATCCTGCGAGCGAGAGGACATTCCAACTTTCAGGATTATTTTGTTTCACCAGCACCAAGTGAAAGAGCGCGGGGGGGGGGGGGGGGGGAGAAGAGGTGGTGGGAGGAGAGGAGGGGTAGAGGAAAATTAAGGGGGCAGATGAATCTGCAGAGACCCACCGAGGGCGAGATGTCGTCGTCGTATTTCTTCATCTGGTTCATGAACTCCAGGTGCTTCTTCTCCTCCTCGAGCTGCGCCACGGCCTGCTCGCTGCGCTGCAGCTTCTGCTGCGTGTTGGCCAGCTCGTCGCGCAGCCACTGGTTCTCCTGGCACAGGCGCCGCACCTGCGCCCGCAGTTTCTGCTTCTCCGACTCCACTGCGTTCAGGTGGCTCGTCAGCGCCACCATCACCTTGGTGGTGGGGGGTGGTGGAAGAGGGGACCGTGAGTGTGGATGGGCCCTGACCGACAGGGAAGAGTGAGGCCGACAGAGAGGTGGGGGGGCTGACAGAGAAGATTAATTACGCCCATAGGATGGGCTGTCCTCTCGTCCACATAAGGTAGTTTCATTGGACTATTTCTGAGAAAATTTGCTGACATAGCACTTACTTTTTGTCATGCAAAGGCAAATAATGGCTCATTTTAACAAGCAGAAGCAAGCAACATATATAGTATATATGATAAGATCAGTGGGGGGTTAATCACCCATTTTGCCCAAGAGGAGAAGCAATCAGATTTGTCCAGATTTGGCCTTTTTTTTTTTACGACTGAAAAATATTGTGCCGCAACCCCTTCCGCCGACGATTATGGCCAGACCCTCGCCCATCCAAGCACTCACCTGCGCCTCTCCGAGCCCCAGGCGAATCATCTCGACGGACTTGCAGAGGATGTTGGCCTTTTCCTGCACGAGGGCGCTCTCCGAGCCCTCCTTCAGGCATCCCAGCGTGTCACCGAGGCTCTGCGTGGGTGCAAAGCGACACTCAGCGGTGGGCGCGCGCCAAGGGGAATCGCGGCTGCTTTACCATCTCAGCCGGCTCCATAAAATGTAATCTCACGGAGAGAATCACTCGCGACTGGTGACAATAAGTGTGAATTTATTCTATAAGAGGAACAATTCTTCTCGGTTGTTCCATAAATTTTACGAGTGAGGTGCGAAATCCTATAATATGCAGTTAATGCAAATAAGATTTCATACAAACATTTGACCTTTAACACGATAAATTAGCTAATTCGAACCAGCACTGCTTGTCCCCTTTAACGTTTACAATAATCCGGTGCATGCAGGGACAGGGGAAGCTCCCGATGGAGCAGGGGGAGGGGGGAGCGGTGAGGGGGAGGTGTGAGGGGGCGAGGTGACAAGAGAGAGGACATCTGTGAAAAAGAGCTTTATAGCCCATCTGATTCCTCCAGGATATATAAACATTCTGATAAAGATTCTGATAGCCATGGGCCCTGGTAATAATTTATAACCATTGAATCTCACCGGCTTACCGTTAGTATTTTATAAGATAATAACGTGGGTGTCATTCAACCTGCGCGGTTGAATTCAAATTGAATGATTGCATCTTGCAGACATGACTGCAAATCAAGGCAGAATTTTTTTTTGGTCTTCGCTTAGACGGCTCATAAAAGCTGTGTTACAGCAATGAGCCAACATCCCTGAAAGCCTGGGATTTTATAACAGTAGCCACCCATGATTTAACATTGATTTTTCTTTTTTACTTTTATTCAGCTAAGCCCAGTTGATGGGCAAAACATATAAATATGCCGGATGACTGACACACAACACACCAACTGGTGTTGGGTGTGAAATCAATCCCTGTTCTTTATCTCCATGTAAAAATAATACATCTTTACCTCTACAGGCCAATTGGCCTTCTAGATATATTAACCAGCAGTGTTTCTTCAAGCAAGCAAAATGTGCAATGGTGTTCACATTTTGGGTCTCATCAACAGCCAAGCATTCAAAACAAATCATGTTGGTTTAATTCATCCTGACTGTGCTCATGGTTAATATATGTTTAGAAGGACAATAGGTCTTCCGGACTGTAGAGATACAGAACAAAGCCCCATTTATTTATTTAGTGATGCATAATGCTCCAGGACAGCGCGTCGAGTGTTTTTATACAATCATTCAAATTACTTCAGGAGCATTATTTTGACTTAATTTTCCAGGGCCTAACATTCTCCGATGCCTGTGTGGATGGCACAAGGACGATCTTTTACCTAACATGACTTTGGTGACAGCAAAACTGGTATAAATCAGATGAAGTGTCATAATAATACAAATAAAAAAAACGCTCAACGGAGGTGTGCTCTTATTCTGGATATAAATACCTATCCACCATGCCAGGGCCAGTGGCACTAAAAACCTTCGGTTCTGATCGGGGTTGCGGCCAGCCGTGATTAAACCGGCTTCTCGAGCGGATGGTCTGGGCCTGATCAGCAGTGACTTGGCGACGACATCTGGACTGCCCGCATCATCACGCTGGCCGTCGCTTGTTAGGGAGTTTCCCACATTTGGGAGTAAAAGTGTGGAGGCGGAAACAAATAGTAAATTATTTTAAAAGAAAGTTATTACCTCAGTAGGCTTTGCCTGGTAGAATGGGGATGGTTTAGTTATATTTGTAGGTTTTTGGGCGATGTTTTTACCTTTCTTACACTTTGCACGACTATCGTGTTTTTGTATTATTTGTTGTTGTAACGTTCTTAACCGCCCCTACTGGACATGTGTGAAAAAAAGAGCTTCATACCCCCATCGGATTCCGTCAGTCAAATAAATATTCTGATTCTGATTAGTCAATTCATCGACAGTGGGGCCCTCTATAAATAGATCACCCTGTACGACTGAGTGGGAGTTCAAGCGCGAGCGGCAGCAACCTGCAGGTAGGAGTCGTGCTCGTGCTTGAGAGCCTCGAGGCCCTGGATGACCGTCTTGGTGCCGGAGATGATCTCCTCCTGCGAGAGGCGCTCCACCTTGCCCTCCTTGGGGGACAGCAGCGTGGACATGGTGGTGGCCCCCCAACCCACCGGCCGGCCTGCCCGCGTCACAAGTCACGGCCTGCGCAGGTATGGACACACGTGCACAAAAGATAAAGACAGGAATCTTGCCACCCCCCACAACTACATCAGTGGTGTAAACAAGAGAGCACAACCACTCCACCGTGACAAAGTGGAAACCACTTTTGTCTATTTCCCTTGTGAATGTATCTATAATTGGCAGCCCCTGGTTTCAAAGTCGTCATTCTACAATGACAACGGAAGAACCAAACTAGGTCATCTGTAAAAACAGGATAAACAAAAACAGGGTTCAAAGACTGGCAGAAGGACAATTACGCAGTGCACATTTTAAACCGATTACTGGTTTCACTTCGTAAAGCGCCCTTAACGTGGCTTAAAACCACACGTGGCAATGGAGCGCGAGCAGATAAAGCAACTGGTCGGCTGAGCAGGATCGCAACAGACAGCTGTAGCGAAAAGTGGCTAGTTATTTATTTATTTCGTATCTGCAGCTGCACTCTTATTTTTTTATCATTTAATTTATTCCAGTTGTTCTATCAGCATCGTAGGGAGAAAGGGGCCCAATGAAGCGGATATTACAGAACTGTTTCTGAGATCCGTCCAAGTGGCCCTTGCTATCCACACACTAGGAAATTCACTTTTCCTGCGACAGAGAGAAGTTTGCTCATGGCAACCAAAACCGATATTTTGTATTTCTTAGAGCTGGAATTTATGCAAATTAAGTGGGAAAAATCTAACACATTTAATGTGATGGGTTTTATGTAGTCATTAGTTAATGGGACGAAACCATCCACTCCTCACAATTAAGATACGAGTTTAATCACGGGTGGCTGAATGCGAGGTCCGAACCCAACATCTCAGCAGCGACAGGCTCAGTGTGTCTCTGTGACCCCTGAGGCCCCAGTCACATCGTGGCAGTGCTTTCTTATAAAACGTAAACAAGCTGTAAACAGGCCCCCCCCCCCCTACCGCACACCAGCGCATGGAGTAGCAATAAAACCTCCATCATCCCAACCACCGTGGAGAGGCGGCCTTGCTCCTGGTCATTCCAGGCACGGCAGAGTCATAAAACAAACAACAGCGCACGCTCGTGCACCGGACGGAGGCGCCGAGGAATCGCTCGACAGCCACAATTATGCATCTGCGTTTAGGGTGACGAGAGAGAGAGCGCGCCAGCCACAAAACAGACAAACGCCTACAATAACCTTCAGACGGATGCGGGCGAATTTAGTTTATTTCTTCAGTAACGCAAAACAGCACGTGGACAATATATATGAGTGAGATTGATGCGAGGAGTTTTAAATGGAGCAATACGAAAGGGGAAGTAAAATTAATGGGTCTGCCTGCGTGGCCCATGTCGGGTGCGGTAGATGCACCGTGTGTGCATGCGAGTGTCGATCGCCGTAGCACAGACTCAGATGCTGTGCCAAGGCTCTGTTGAAGCACACTATGCACCAGCCTAAAACTAGCCTGGACTGATTAGTACACATTACTAATCAGATTGCTAGGCACAAATTAACATCGATTCTCGAAGCTTGCACTACTTGCATACCGATGTGTTGTAATTAATAAATGTTGCATATCGTGGGTTCACGTCACCCATGCAGCCACGTGTGCAAAGAAGGCGAGATTCTTCAATCGTTTTCATTTAATCGCCGGGGGAGAGTGAATCACTGTGGTCCTTGCCCACCAGCCTACACAACCAGGTGAATTGTCATGACTCTGGGTCACAATTCGTTGAATTCTATGTACAGTAAAACCTTGGATTGCGAGTAACTTGGTCTGCGAGTGTTTTGCAAGACGAGCTAAATTTTTTTAATAATATTAATTGATAAACGAGCGAGGTCTTGCAATATGAGTAGTACGTATACGCTTTGTCTGCCGAATTATGCTCGCAATCCAAGGTTTTACTGTATATTTTTTTCATAATCCGATGAATCTATATATATATAGTTCTAAGTCCACTTTCTATTGTAAACAAATGAAATGTATTATACCGGTATTTTTTTTTTTGACCATTGTTCACGATGCTGGCCAGTGCAGCAGATTGGTGAAGAAGGGATCAGTGGTCACTCACCAACGGTGTTAGCCATCGCCAGGAATCGAACTGAGGTTGCTGACTTCATAGCACAATGCGCTCACCACTCTGACACACCGCACCCTCCAAACTGTAGCCAGAACAGCAGGACCATGCTCACTGCTGCATTCATAATCTATGGAGATTAAAGTATGGGCGTTTTAGTGAGAGAGCGCTTATGATGACATGTGACAAATAATGACACTGGCTTTGGAACACACGAAATAACACCATCCATATGCACACACCACACATGGCGTAAGGCACATTTCTACACGTGTCAAAAATAACATGGTGCGCTATAATTTTTATATTCTACAACCGTGCCGATTTGTGGTGTTGATGGCATGTGACAAATAGTGAAACTGGATTTTTAATCACATGCACATCCTCTCGCCACGCTCGTACACACACAGCTAAAAGATTCCACGCATACCCATACAACAGACTGCCGGGAGGAGTGCTGTTAGCGAGCACCTATTAAGACTGACATGACTCACACAAAATCAAGGTACTAGTTAACATACACTTTCTAATGATGTTAATGACAGGTAAGCAACGCTTGGACATCAGCATCAGTGTAGATCGTGCAACCACCACTGCTGCAACATTACATACACACACAAGCAAGTGCTCCGATCCCTTACAAGAATGAGTCGTGGACTCAGCGAGGCATTCCGAACTAAATACGTTTGTTTGGGCATGTATCAATTTAATTGATACATTTCTTGCTGTGGATTTCACACCTGATGATGATTGCTTGTGTTGCAGTCGAAACGTCGTGAGAATTGTTATTGTTGATATTTTTATTATTTTATCATTTCCCTTCTACGTGACTTTACCGAAAGAACCAAGAATATGAATCCCTGCAGTAACGAAAGCTTTAAATCAAAATGTATCAATTTATTGATTAAAATCAAAACTTACGCAAATGACACGTGCATGGACATGTGCACGACAGAATCGGCTATTTACAACAAATTGCATGTGAAGAATAATACGCAATTGACACATTCAGGCCACTAATGGAGCCATGAATGTGACAATGCGATTGCACTTAGCTGCCACATTCACTTTCATTCATAAAACACAAATACAAACACAGACACACTCTACACTATGAATGTAATCAACGATTCATATCGATGTTTAAGATTCACAGTGCACGCATAACATGGCGTACGTAGCATTCGATGTTTATTGAGTTATGCGGATAATGTACAAATGACTAACCAATGTTCCACTGAAGAGCTAACGAGCACGAAATACTTTACAATAGCTATCGAAAAATATTGAGAAACAATTCAAATAGCACGGTAAGGGGCCGTCCATAAATGACGTCACGCACCTGGGGGGGTGGGGTCAGACATTTGTGACGATGTGTGACGACGAGGGGGGGGAGTTTGAGAAATTTGCCGTCACATAAAAATGCGTAACTTTAAATAAATAATTATAGAATACACGTTCTACTTAATTAAATAGACTTTTAAATAAATGTTTTATCCTACAACATCAGAGTGCAGCGCCACATTAAATACGCACTACAATGACAATAGTTTCAAGCGATTTGAAGCATGTTTTATATTTTTTTTTGGGGGGGGGGGCGGCAGAGCTTTGTGACGTCATATTTGAGGGGGGGGTCTGACTTTTTGTGACGTCGTGTGATGAATGGAGGGGGGGGGGTCAAAAATCGTCCAAAATCGCGTGACGTCATTTATGAACGGCCCCTAATAAGCAGTCGAAAAATAACTGATCCTTGAATCGATCCCCAATCATCGGGGGCTTTTGAATGAATTACCACACGCCTATTAACGCATGGCAGGATCAACTGTGCTAGCGTCGTCTTGTTGTACTCAGCCATTACCATGTAGGGGACCAGTGGCATTTGGCTCATACGCACACATGCACACAATCATCCATCTCAAAAGGGACTTCGTGAATAATGTCCAATATATATATGCAGCATGGTGCGGGGGATTTCACAGCAAGACATTTCGAGGATCAGCTGTTACACTCCGCGAGCCTCCAGCCAACGATGCAGACATAAATCCACTAAACTGTTCCGCAGCGAGTGGCGAGCAGACAAAAGTCAAGTCTCCTTCTGGAGCGAGTTTATCGCAGCCTATTTGCGCACAGCGACGGCTGCACGCACGGCGTGCACTCGCCTTTAAATGGTTGTCCTTTATTTAACCAGACGAGGGCCAAATAGAATTTGGTGTGTGTGTGCTTTTATTGTTAAGGGAGAGCTGTTTGACTGTAGCTGCTGAAGTGTTAGGCATGGGTTAGAGGGGTGTAACCATGCACAGGTTCGACTATTAATATTCATTCTCGAGCCTACTATTAAATCATCGAATTCCATTTGTGAGAATGGATGTTTTGATTTGTGTTGCTTGTATTGGGTTCACGGGAGCCCTGCGGCCACTAGAGGCCGCAATGTTTAATTACAACGTAAAAAAAAACACGAGCGCTTCTTGAAATGGATCGTGACCGTGACTTGCAAAGTCATGGGGTGCAGGAGGTGGTTAACCGTTGCATATCTGCTAGTATAGATGTGAGATTTCTAATAGTTAATTATTTAACAACTGCATGTGTGAGATTTGTCAAAATTTGGACTTATTCCATAAACACCACAACAAAAGCAGCCCCCCTCTATGAAATGAGAAAACACAAAAAAACGCAGGCTGTGTGCACCAAATATGCGCAAGTATGGTAAGGTCATCTTTGCATGCAAAGTACCCTGGGATTCCTGATCTTTTTTTTCTGTTTAAGGCACATTTTTTTGCAAATGTATTATAATGAGCTGCTTCCTGAAATCAAGGGATATTGTATCCAGTGCGTTAAAAAACACACAAACTGCTCTACACCATGAAGCATGGTGTGTATACATAAGTACCTTGAATACAGCCGCAAGGGCAGGCAGTGTAAACTGTTTAATGTCTTCACAATAATCACATTAATTTACA